ATATTTCTATATAGGTAAAGGTAAAGGTTCCCTTGCTCGAAAGCCAGTCGAATCCGACTCTAGGGTTGCGGTGCTCATCTCCGTTTCAAAGCCGAAGAGCCAGCGCTGTCCGAAGATGTTTCCGTGGTCATGTGGCCATCATGACTAAACACCAAGGTGCACGGAACGCTGTTCCCTTCCCACCGAAGTGGTACCTATTTATCTACTTGCAATTTCTTGCTTTCGAACTGCTAGGTTGGCAGGAGCTGGAACTAGAGACGGGAGCTCACTCCGTCATGCGGCACACTCGGGTCTTGAATTGCTGAATTACCGACCTTCCACAGCCTGCAGTTCAGCGTCTTAACCACTTGAGCCACCGCATTTTACACTGGAGAGAATCACAGCCCAGTGAATCAATCTCTAATCTATCGAGACTGCAGAGAATCTTTGGTACACTTCGCATGTATGAGATGCATGCTGATACAATCTTACATTCAGCTGCCAGCACTACCAGCGGTTTCACTGTCCAATTATGACAGAGGTCAAATAATGAAAGACCTAGTGTTTTACACTTCTTCTGCTTTGCAGTACGTTTCATGGAGGCTTAGAGTTACACCCTTCTAAACTTCGGTTGACTTCAATGTACTTAAAAAGTTGTAACGGTGCTTAGAATTGCACTGCTAATTAGACATTCTCAAGGACCAGAAAGAGCTTTGGATCTTACCCTAACAAAACCCTCCGTAATCAGAGAAAAGAAATATTACGATTTTTATACCGGTGGAAGAAAGGGGAAATAATAACTCACAGTACTACTCCAGGTAAGCCCAGTAGTGTGATATTCTTTGATGTATCCTTGAAGATCTGCCCAGATATTCAAGTATGACTTCACCCAATCAACATGACGCAAGTCACTGTAACATAAAAAAAATTTTTTCGTGGATTATACATTTGAAGATACAAACTGACCTTTAAAATCCATGACAACTTTAGGATTGACTTTAATGAGGACTGGTTTAAATGGCATATAAACAGATTCACAAGGCAACTCAAAGTAGCATTTGCCACAGAAAATGTAATGAGGATACACATGGCTTGAGGATTTCAGTCTTCCTTAGCAAACTGTTAGCCTCAATTAGGCTTTCTTCTAGATAACACTTCTTTTGCAGGAGATCCCATTTTCCCAGCAAGTCAAACCACTGTAATTTTAGCACTACGAGTTTCTCTTCCCTTTCTGTATTCATTGCAGCTGTCCGTGCTGTTTTTGGAATGCAGCTTCATGAACATGATAAACCCATTATTGAATAATGCTTGATACAGAAGAAGAAGGAGGAGGAGGAGATTGAATTTATACCTTGCCCTTCACCACCCAAAGGAGTCTCAGAGCTTACAATTCAGAGCTTACAAACTCCTTTTCCTTCCCCTCCCCACAACAGACACCCTGTGAGGTGGGTGGGGCTGATAGAGCTCTGACAGAAACTTCTCTTTTTCAAGAACAGCTGTACCAGAACTATGGCTTGCCCAAGGTCATCCAGCCAGGTGCAAGTGGAGGAGGAGTGGGGAATCAAGCCCGGTTCTCCCAGGTTAGAGTCCGCGCACTTAACCACTACACCAAACTGGCTCTCATTTGGCGTTCTCATTAGGCACAAGCAAAAAAAAATGTTTAGCATGGAACTGATCCAGCCAAAGTACATCATTTTATAAACCAAAGTTAAGCATGCACTGCCCATTGAAATTAATCTATTTAAATCAATAGGACTTAACTGCAGTGAGCTCATGCTCCTAGAATGTACCAAGTCTTCCTATCAAACCTACAGTGTGCTGTAACCTTTGAGCCATGGCTCAGTGGTCAAGCATCTATCTTGCATGCAGAAGGTCATTTCCAGGCAAACGGGTCAGATGGTAGGTGACAAAAAGACTTCTGTCTGAGGCCCTGGGGAGCCACTAACCATCAGACAATAATGACCTTGACAGACCAGCCATCTGAATCAGTAGATGGGTCGGTTCTTATTTATTTTTAATTTATCGGATACAGCATTGCCCCACCCCATGCCCAATTCTGGGAGTCCTCATGCAGATGTTTAAAAATAAAAGTGGCCAAATGCAACATGCTGTCCCTTTGGGATTTAAACTCAGCCGAAAGCCCCTTTGGCTCTGATAAGCCAATCTTTTGTCGTGCTGCTATAATTAGAACAGTATTCGTTCTATCGTACGGTGTGTTAAACATACCAAATAGGTTTGTGATGGATTTGAAATTATATTCTTTAGATTCTGATAAAACTGTTTTAGACGCATCACCAGAAACAAATAAGTAATTCTGTTGGATGACTTACCTATGTTTGTAGTCTTTTAACACCCTGTTAGTATAAAAGGTAGCAGCGTCATTCATCTCCTTGACATACGGCCCGGGTTTAGGAGCCTAAGGAGACAGCATCATTGTGTGAATGTCCCAGGAACACATTTAAAAGGGGGGGGGGAGATCATAAGGCAAACCTTCCATGGCATTTTAGATAGTAGAAATCAAGAATTTAAAACATGAGGGAAAACACTAGTCCAAGCAACTCGGAAGTATTCTTGGTCTTGTGCAAAACGGCAGAAACATTTTTTTTTTTTAAGTCCGCTTCCGAAGCTGGGAACTCACCACTGCTACCCATCCGAGAGCGGGTACGCTTTCGCTGACAGCCGACAGATGATTAAACATTTTACTTCCTCGGTTTCTCTCTCGGAACGTCTGAATTTCCAGGATCTTATCCGATGATGGTTTTAGAAGAATGGCCACTTCACTCTGCAGGGTTCAAAAAACCCCAAACCCTGTTGTTACTGTTGGCATAACAGAAACAGGAAGTTCAAAAAAACCAGTTGTTACTGTTGGCATAACAGAAACAGGCTTGGCCTACAGAGAAAAAAGACTAAAAAAAGCACACCATAAGTTGCTGGGCATGTAGAGATCCTGTAGTGTATTCTAAGTAGCCACATGTATTCACCAGTTCCTATTTATTACCTGTTTGTGATTTGCTTTCTACCATTAAAGGTAAAGGTAAAGGTTCCCTTGCTCAAAAGCCAGTCGGAGTCCGACTCTAGGGTTGCAGTGCTCATCTCCATCTCAAAGCCGAAGAGCCAGCGCTGTCCGAAGACATTTCCGTGGTCATGTGGCCAGCATGACTAAACACCAAGGTGCACGGAACGCTGTTACCTTCCCACCGAAGTGGTACCTATTTATCTACTTGCAATTTCTTGCTTTCGAACTGCTAGGTTGGCAGGAGCTGGAACTAGAGACGGGAGCTCACTCCGTCATGCGGCAACTCGGGTCTCGAACTGATGAACTACTGACCTTCCACAGCCTGCAGTTCAGCGTCTTAACCACTTGAGCCACCACAGTTTCTTTCTACCATTAGAAGGTTCATATCTAATACTTGTTGCCATTTACTCCGCAGGGGAGCTTGTTTTATTATAATGTCAGTGGCGCATCAGACATACACCAGGAGATCCATGAACAGATTTCCTACCCTTTTTACAGCCTAACAACGGCAAAGGAGAAGGCTGAGGCCGTGGCCATAGCACATGAGCATGCCCCTTGTGCCGTTTTCCTGACCTAAATTCCAACCTCCTAGAGCTGTTTTTGCCCTATGGGGTAAAAAGCAGATCTGAGGTATGGAATATGCAGACTGAGGACAGAAAACAGTGCAGAGAGAAGGGTCAATACCCTCCCCATGACTCCGGCCAAATCTGGATTGAGTGTCCACCTTCCCCCCCTCTAGTAACTCTTTTAAAAAACTGGAGGATCCATTCACAGATTTCCCATTGTTGTGCCTAGTTTGGTCTTCAGTTTGGCTTTTAAGAGACAAATTGGGCAATTCAGTTTCAAACATAAAGGCTGCCTCTGATACTGCACTGACAAACTGCAATGACAAACTGGCATATCCCACAGAGTTAGATGGAATGTATTTTCCAGTAGAACAGGTGAAGAAACAGCAAAGAGAAATTCTGCTTCAGGTAAGAATTTTGGGGCTGTAAGCTATCTCCAAGTCCAAGCTATAGTAGAGGAAACCTAAAGGACATAAACCAGAAAAAAAAATCTTGCACTGAGACATACTATCTTGTCAAGAATAAGGTTTTCATCTTAAATTATGCAGGCCGAATCTAGAATTCTGTTTGGCTAAGCTTGATCTTTGTGAGCAGCTTGATTTATTCATGTTGTCATAGAATCTGCACATTAATGGTAGGTATGTTTGTCTGCACAACCTGGATAGCCCAAGAGGGCCGATCTCATTAGATCTTGGAAGCGAAGCCGGTTTGGCCTAGCTAGTATTTGGATGGAAGACCACCAAGGAAGTCCAGGGTCCCTACGCAGAGGGAGCACCTCTGAATGTCTCTCTTGCCTTGAAAACTCTATGGTGTTGGCCTGTCAGGTGAGACTTGATGGCCAAAAAAAAAAATTGTCTACAGAATGTTAATGTCAAATCAGCTGAGTTTCTGACAGCTGTGAATAACACATTTTTTGTTGATGGAAGGAGATGGGTTTTTTTAACCTTTTCAATGGCATCTGTTACTTGCTGTTTGCCTGCGACAAAGGAACCAGCGTCCCTGTTTGTAGGAACTTCTGCAGGCATGGCGTGCAAGCTACTCTGAGCCTTTGTGCGATACATCTCTGGCACTGATTTCCTAAACAGTGCCCATGACAGTTAACATTCCCACACCCCAACAATGACTGGAAAAACCTGGAAACAGTTTTTAAAGGTTTTTATTACATGGAAGATTCATGTTATAAGATCAACTTTTAAAAAATGTTAAAAGACCAGATGATGGAATGGGGTGGAAATAGATTGGGTCTGCAGTACAAGAAAGGAGTAGTTTACCCTTTCCCCATATGTAGTTTTACTGACAGAAACCATTGTAATAACCAAGGAAAGAAAAAAGGCAAGCAACTCACATTTCACCTGCCTTTTCCCTCTACAACACGTGTTTACTGGAAAAAGTGCGAGAGAAAAGGTTAAACCCCCTCCAACCTTGCATGGTCCCCCTCCCCCTTAGAATTATAGGATCATAGAGTTAGAAGGGACCTCCAAGGTCATCTAGCACAATGCAGGAAATTCACAAATACCTCCCCCTCCACACCCCCAAGGACTGCTGTTCCATGCCCAGAAGAAGACAAAAACCCTCCAGGATCTCCAGCCAAACTGGCCTGGAGAAAAATTGCTTTCTGACCCTAAAGTGGCAATCAGCATTTCCATAGGCCTGTAAGAAACAGCCACAAGAACAAAGCACTGATGGAACCCTTCCTGCCCTCTGTCTCATGATCTGCCTGTTCACAGAATCAGCATTGCTATCAGAAGGCCATCTAGCCTCTGTTTGAAAACCTCCAAAGAAGGAGAGCCCACCACCTCCCGGGGAAGCCTGTTCCACTGAGGAACC